GCAACAATGAATGAATGGAATCCCAAAATCTCTGTAGATGTTCATTGAAATGAAAAATAAACAACCTAAATTAAAAAGAAATAAAAACAAACAAACAAAAATACAGTTAGGCATGCTGCCTCTGAGCCCCCAGCGTAACTTCCCGTGGTGCTGGGGGTTAAGCTGCAGCCCAAGAGCATGAGTTCGTACATAACTGGAGCCCTAGCCTGCTGCAGGCGGCCCTTTTAACCACGAGCAACACAGAGCATCATGAGTCTCAATTCTTAGGACGATCCCTTGGGCAACAGATAGTAGGCTCCTTAACTAACTGTGTGTCTTCTGTGCTGCTGACCAGTTGGACCAGCGTGCGCTGCAACTTAACCAGTCCTTGATTGTCATCCAAAAAACTGAAGGGGTTATTGGGAAAAAAAAAGAAAGGTGATACTGGGGTATGACAACAGCCCAGAATAAGAGGTCCATTGCAAAGAGAACTGGGTGTGGGGAAAGGAGGTAATTGTGAAACAAAGAATGAATATTTAAAAAAACAAAAAAAGTAAAGGGGGAAGGAAGAGGGAAGAAAAGGTACAACAATGAATAAATGAAAATCGAACTTTTCTGTAAACTTTCATGAAAATCACAATTAAAGAAAAAATTTAATTAAAAAGGAAAAAAAAAGATAGTTAGGAAAGGTTCTTGTTCATAACCCAGGGACTGTATGAAATATCTAGACAAAGCAAATGAATAAAGATGAAAGTTTATTAATCATCTAGAAAGAGAAATGAGAGTAATTTCTCAAAGAGTACTGGTGTCTGTTTAAAGTGATAAAAAACTTACGGAAATTGATAGTGATGATGGAAGTACAATATGGCAAAAATACTTAAAATATTTAATGCCACTAATTAACACTTAATCTGCTTAAAATGGCAACAGAAAAGTTTTTGAAAATAAGCTCAATTTTTTTAAAAAGTTGATAACCTTTCATAAAGGAAAAATTTCCTTTTTGTAAAGAAAAATTTTTTAAATCTACATAAAACCTCTCTTCACCATCCATCCTGGTGCTGCCAATTGGTCTAGTGGTGACAATCTTTGTCTTCTTGACATTGAGCCTCAATCCATATTGGAGGCTGCAGTCCTTGACCCTCTGCAGCAAGCACTTCAGGTCCTCTTCAGTTTCAGCTAGCAGGGTTGTGTCATCTGCATCGTGCAGATTGTTGATAGATCTCCCACCAATCCTGACCCCACATTTCTCCTCAGAGAGCCCAGCCTCCCAGATAATCTGTTCTGCATACAGGTTAAAAAGGTATGGAGACAGGACATCCCTAGCATACGCCCTTCCCAATTTTGAACCATGCAGTGTTTCCTTGCTCTGTTCT